AGGAATTGGAGTCTTATCGGCAGGAATTGGATGTATGGTATGTGTACTTGTTTAGGGAGACAATCCAGAGTTAGCTCAGTCTGATTCATGATGCTTAAAAAGGAAAAAACCTTAGATTTTTGCTTTTAATTTTGCTAGATAGGGTGTGTGTTGTCCAGCAGAGAGACAGAGAAAGTGAAAAAGCACTCCCCACAGGAATGGTCATGTTGCAATCCTTTCTCCATTTCACCCTTCAGGATTTGGGGTATGCATGCAAATACATCCAAAATGTTTTTCAAGCCACTGGGTCTATTACTTAAACTGTGCAGTCAGCCATACAGTGGCTTAACAATTAAGCCACAGCTGGTCTCCTTGTTTTTTACCTAAACAGGAGTCCCTTTAACAGACCTTGAAAGCTGCAAGCCTGACATCTTTGTTCTTATGCTCCATACAGCTGTCCAGGATTGCCTAGTATGTATTCTTTTCAAAGAGGGATAGAAGTCCTTCATATTCTATCTGTACCAAGGGTGGGCGGACACCAGGCCTAAAGGCCAGACTCTGTAAAGGTATGTTAGGCCACTGGTAAACAATATATATAAATAGAGCAAATATTTCTGGAATTCTGATTAAGTTAACTTTAAGACCTAAGTATGGTTTTACATTCACTTTTCCTCTAACTTTGTATTTAAGACTCACAGAACATTTAATCCAAGACCATTAAGAACTTGACTACTCATAGAGAACTATGTCTAGGAAACTGGCTTAAACTTTAGTTTTTTTTACACACTAGGTTCTCAACAAATTTCAATGTATTTCCAATTATCCACTAAAGGGGATTTAAGACTCACTTTTGCTTCTTTCTGTCCTGAAATAAGACAAAGAGGGATCTGATCTTGTCCCACTATCATTTTTTTTAAAAACTAAGTTTGATAATGATGTTAAGTTTGCACCTCTTAAGACTTAGGAAAGGCAACTATTATAAGAAAACTAATAAATTTAGGATAACATTATTACGAAGAAAAAAAAGCATACCACTAACTGAAGTTCAGTGTAGGTGTACTTAAGCTAGAAGAAAAACATGTAGAAACATACAATCAACTCCCTTAATTTGCATTTATGAACACACCCATCCCCATGTTGTTAAACTCTTAGCTTATACTTTATATTTGAAAAGCAGGCTAGAATTTTAAAATCAAGCCCAGAAATGTTACACAGGAAGGGCCAGTCAAGGGAGGCCAAAGGCCAGTAGTGTCTAGCAGAGTACTTTTATGGTTAGGAAAGAGATCAGTAAGATATAGAATACAGAGCACTCAAATACAGTTTGTGTTACATTTTTTTCAATCTTGATCCTTCTCCACTAGCTTCCCCAAAGGCACCTTAGAATTTTTGAGCCTATTAGACCAAAAGTACAGGAAAATAACAGGGCATAGAATATCTTATTTATATGACTATGACAAGTTATAAAACTGTAACGTGCTTAATGTTCAATATGATTTAGACACACCTAAAATGAAATGTTTAAAGAACTCAATACAAGAAGACAAGGCAAATTTTCTGGGGACTATTACCTGAAAAGAAAAAACTATAGGTGTCTATGTACATCTTGAAATCAGGATGTTGGGTCTTGATCCTTTTTTTCTTTTTAATAGAAAGATTACAATAGCAAATTAGACAACGGAGTACATCATTTTATTGTTAAACTTTTATTTCATGAACACACACAACTCTGTAAAATGATATAAAATATATCCCTTATTGTTAATTAGTTTAAAAAAATTTATAAGCCTTTATTACTTGAAGTCCAGAATACCCTAGCATATGAGGATAAAGAAAATTCATGATAAGAGCAAGCAGGCGGCATGGTGGTTAAGGTGTTAAGACTCCAACATGGCTAACGATGGTTCAAGTCCCAAACCTAGCTGCTTGAAGATGACACCAGGTACATGTGCATGCATGCCCCAAATTTTACAGACAATGGATTATATATAGCATGGGCATCTTTCCAGAGGGTGATTTCTCACTTTCCCTCTGTCTAGGTTCTGTCTTGCTCCGGTGAACACATACACCTGTGGCAAAAAAAAATTTAACAAGAGCCAGCAGGAGTGGTGGTTAGGGCCCTAGACTCCTACCATGGTTCGAGTCCCAGACACCAATTGGTGGCTTGCTTTCTCACTCTCCCACCCCTTCCTCTCCATCTGTCTCTGGTGAGAACATGCACCCTGTAGCAAATTTAAAAATAAGGGGCCAGCAGATTGAGGAATGGTTACATAGCTCGACTACCACGTAGTCAACTGTAGTTCGAGTTTCAGACCTGGTGGCTTCAAATTCATGCGAGACATGTGTGCATGCATGCCCAAGATCCCAAGAGGAAAATGTTGGAGAAGGTATTGTGCCGTGGCCATCCCCCCAGGGTGTGATTTCTCACTTTCTGTCTGTCTGTCTCTCTGACAAGCACAAGCCCTCTAAAGCAAAAATCTCTCTTTAAAACAATAACAACAAAATAATTTTAAAAGAATTAAAATTTATTTTTAAAACTATTACTTTATTATTATTATTATTATTATTTAACATGACCAGAAACAGGGAAAGTGAGAAAGCAAGCTGCCGGGTCTGGGATTCAAACCATGGTTAGCCATTTGGTAGTCCAGCACCCTAACCACGATGCTACATGCCAGCCCCAAGTAAATAATTAAAAAAAAAAAAAAAGAAAGAAAACTGATGATAAAATCTTTTATCCACTGGGCCAGCCAGTGGCATGGTGATTTAGATGCCTGGATCTCACATGGCCACCTGTGCAGTTCAAGTCCCAGACTCAAGCAACACGAGAAGCACTGGGTGCATGTGTGTGCATGCCCAAAATCTCAAAGGGAGGAAGAGATGAAAGAGAGGGGACTGCGCTGTGACCATCCCCCAGGGAAATGTTTTCTTGCTTCCCCTCTGTCTTTCTCTGGAAATCATACATGCCCTGAAGCAATTTTTTTTTTTTTTGGAGAGGTTTTCACTATAGGGTATGTGCGCTCACCAGACAGAAAGAGACAGAGAGATAGAAAGCGAGAAATCAACCCCCACGGGGGATGGTCACGCCGCACACTCCCTTCTCCTCCATTCTCCTCTCGGGATCTTGGGCACGCATGCACATGAGCCCGGCGTGAGTTTTAAGCCACTGGGTCCGGGACGCGAACCACGGTCAACTACGTGGGAGTCCAGCGACATAGCCATTACACTAACTGCTGGTTCCTGCCCTGAAGCAAATTTTAAAAAATAATTCTCCCACTAATTCTGAGAATATCACTTACAGTTATAAACTTTATAAATTAAACCAAAAAAAAATCAGAAGAAGAGATAAGTATTTGAGTGACTATAACATTGTGTCACTAGGTTTCTCGTTAAATGTAGAAATTTTAGGTAAGCCCTTGAACCTTTAAGTCATTTCTCTGTGAAATGACAAAAAGTACTTTTAGGGACCAGCCACTGGTGTGTTGGCTAGGTCAGCTGGATCCCACATGACCGACTATGTGGTTTGAGTTCCAGACCTGTCTGCATGAAAAATATGCAGGGCAATTATCTGTGTATGGCAAATACCCTGAAAGGAGAAGGAACTGTGGTGTGCCTACCTTCCCTGGGGCTGGCTGGCTGGCTGGCTGGCTGGCTCTCTCTCTCTCTCTATCTCTCTCTCTCTCTCTGGTGAGTACACACACCCTACAGCAAATTAAGAAAAAAAAAAAGTACTTTTAAAAAGGCAATTAGGAGGGAACCAGCAGTTAGCATAATGGCTATGTCGCTGGACTCCCATGTAGTCGACCGCGGTTCGCGTCCCGGACCCGGTGGCTTAAAACTCACGCCAGGCACGTGTGCGTGCATGCCCAAGATCCCGAGAGGAGAATGGAGGAGAAGGGACTGCAGCGTGACCATCCCCCCGGGGGGTGATTTCTCGCTTTCTGTCTCTATGTCTCTCTCTGTTTGTTTGGCGAGCGCACGCGCCCTATAGCGAAAACCTCTCCAAAAAAAAAAAAAAAAGGGCAATTAGGGGACCAGCAGTTGGCGTACTGGCTTTGTTGCTGGTCTCCCATGTAGTCGACCGCGGTTCGAGTCCCAGAACCGGTGGCTTAAACTCATGCCGGGCACGTGTGTGCGCATGCACCTTAGATCCTGAGAGGAAGATGGAGAAGGGATTGCGGTGTGGCCATCCCCCCGGAAGGATGATTTCTCACTTTCTGTCTCTTTGTCCTTCTGGCAAGTGCACACGCCCTATAGCAAAAACTTCTCCAAAAAAAAAGAGAGGCAATTAGATCTGTTTCTAGCTTCTCACTCCAACAGCAACTACAAAAATAAACATCAGAAATGGTGATTTACAGATTAACTCGGTTACCAATAGATGTGGGCAGGTACATTACCGTCTTTAGTTTCCACTAAATCAAAAGGCACACTGGTGATAAAATACTAAATTTTCAAC